GCTTCCAATCCCCCATCCTTTCAGCTTGGACGAATTGCTTCATTAGCGTGGTCATCCGAAAATACTGAACCCACAGCTTTGATGTTGGGCCATTTGCTTCCATTTTATCCAGGGCAGTTTTAAATTTGGCACTCAAAGTCTGTAATATTTCACTGTCTTCCATGAGGAGAATTGTCGACCTGTCACTGTCACACAGGATCCTATCCATTTCAGCTTTTTCTTCCTCCGTGAAGTGAACCTCATCAGTTAAAATCAGGTGAGCAAGAGCTAAGTTAGTGAGCATGTGAGCTCGTACAGCCCTAGAATAGGCGTGACCATTGAGGATCTTGTCTACACTGTTTTCGGCGTATATGGTGAACAGCAATTCCTTCAGGCCACTACCTGCCATTATCGCGCCGATGCTCCCCATGTATGACATTAACAGGTGGAAGCCACCAAGACGCACCACTACATTACTTAACTCAGGATGCGGGCAGCTTTGAACGATATCTCGGGCTTTCATGTAGAGGGGTTGGTCGAAAGTGACGAAGCAAGTTTTCTGGGAGTGTGTCCTGCTTTTTTGACTGGCCTCAAGCAGAGCTGTCATAATGGTGTCATAGTCGGTGGGTGGGGCGTGAATAAATGGGAGGAAAACAATCTTGGAACGATCGAATTGAAGGTTTTCTGTTACCTGCTCCATGAACCCATTCCAGCCTGGTACTTGTGGTAAGTGAGACACTTTTCCGTACAACCATAACAAGTCTGTTGGTGAGGGCAGGATTTCACCAGCAACTTGGAACATCTCATGTACATCAGTGATAGGTATAGCTGACAAACCAGCATTCTTTCTTACGTTGCACTGTTTCACATCTGATAGATTGTAAGAAGCAATTGTGTCAGCAGAGACATAGCTCTTTAAGCGCGGGATTATCTTACCGGGCATCACAGCAGTATATGGAGTGATAACCATGATGCCGCCCATCTCATGAAACGTGTTTTCTCCATCCAAGGTGTTTACATTAAAGTCTGCATTGTCAAATGTGAACTGCATGAAGGATCCTTTTTCAATGTGGGGTGAGGATTCTCCATGTACAATGGCTGAGCTTTCGATTCGCACTGCTTCACTGTAACTACATGAAAACCCCATTGCAGAGCAGAGGTTAATGAGATGTTTTGAACCAAACTTCCTGTATAGGTATGTACCAAAACTGGTCTTCAACGAAGAAACGAAAGACGTTGGCCTTACTGCAGATATCAGTAAGTGAGCAAATCCCACACATTTCTTTCTCCAGTCTTCAAGCCCCTTACGTTTATTTTTTAGCACGATAGTTTCGAGCAACAGCTTCACAGATTGAGGAATGTCAGAGTCAGCATCTTTTAAGAAATTATCGGATGGAGGATACTCACTGACGTTATATACCACTGAACGAATGTCTTGCACAAGTATTTCTGCAGCAGCCTTCACCACCCTTAGTCGCTCTTCTTCAGGGTTACTTTTTCTATCATTATACCAGGTATCGTACAGGATCTTTTTCCCAATGTCACGAAAACAAAGAACTGTTTGATGGCTGCGGCCACGGCCAATCTCAGAGAACATTATCATGTTTCCAAAATGTTTTTCAAGATGACTTTTGACGGTTCTGACATCAGGCTTGAACTCGCCTTTGATCTGGGCCATTAGGTCGTTTAACGAGAACTGGCATTCATCTCTGTTTTCGGCCAGGAAAGAATATATATAGTCCATACTCTCAGTGATGTTATTTGGCTCAAAATGTCCTCTTTTGAGTGCAATGCTTGGTGGAGGTTTGTAAAGTTTAAGGCGGCATTGGCTGTGGTACCTAGCACCAGCTGCAACTAGGTCATTTACAGAAGCAAGACGATGAATAATTAGCTGTGCCCATTCATCCCCTCGACGCCCAGCTGCTTCAAGGATGGCCGCCCTGACGTTCAGAGATTCAACAGTGTGAACAATATTCCGTCGAGAAACTGGTAGTTTTTTTTGGAGGTTGAGAAATTCTGAGGTGATTTCGTCCCCACAGAGGAAACAAATTTTTTGCAGGTTACATTGTCCTGAAGAGCCTCTTGATCCTCTGGATGTTGATGGTTTAGGAGCTTCATCACCACCACGGCGAACCGATGCTACAATATTACTTTCAGCCGTGTATCTCTTTCTGCATGTGTCGTGAATACCAACTTCATCCAACCCTTGCAGAAACTGTTTATTATGCAGTAGGCCACGTTTGTCACTTACTTCAATTAAAGAAAGAATCCCACGTGTTTTAACAACCACAACTTTACCTTCATCAAGTGTATTGTTACAAATAAAACAACATCCCGGCGGAGCCGACATTATTTCATTCGCGCACAAACTAATCACTTACTCCAGTTAATTATGGTACTTGTTTACATTACAATAATGGGATTTGGTATGCATTGGTATTATCATATGTTGTAAAATACAAACACCTTAAATAGACAACAATTGGTTGTCTGGTAAATTGAAATACCTGTCAGCTGTACAGCTATACAACACCAGCAAAGCAGGTGTACCAATATAAACTTAAAACAAAACAAAATATCTACTAATAACAATGGGAATAACTAATGGCTTGGAGGGACCTTAGCCCATAACTTCAAGTAGGAACACATGTCGGTTCGAAAACAAAGCAGCTGTTTTTTTAGCGAATTTCCCTATAGGGAAGTAGCTATTACCGTAGGTGGCACGGTAAGACCTAGACCCGGGACCGATTTACTTTTTCATTTTGATGTCCCCAGAGGCCACAAACACCATTCGTTCAAATTTTTATATATGTATATATATATATATATATATATATATACGTCCGTGAACGCGATAGCTTGAGTAATTTTTGTCCGATTTTGATGAAATTTGGTTTAAAGGTGTAAAGCGGGATAAACCTGAATGAGTTCGCGAACCAGCACGATCGGACCATGGGAACGGGGCTTTACGGGGGGTTTTATAGGGTAAAAATTGGGTTTTCTCACTTTTGACCCTCGAAAACACAAAATTTCCCGATTTCTCTTTAGACCTTTTTAAAGAGCTTAAAAAAAAACAAATAATTTAGTATATAAAAGTATTTTTGTTCGACTATTAGTAACGGAGAAAATATAAAAAATTGTAAATTTAAAATTCCCATGTTATTCTTATGGAGAATATTGTCAAATGTTGTAGTTTGCTTGTTTATGGATATATTTTGATCAAACTTGGCAAATTTATTTATTTTGTACTAGCTATCAATATTTTACTCAAAAACACACTTTATTAGTTTCCTTGTAGCAGCAAACCTAGGTACTCGTTAAACCTAATGTTATTAAAATATATTTAACTGAAAATCAATTCAGACAAATGGAAATTCGCTTAGTCGGCAGGTTTGCTGCGGCGGGGGTATTTAAATCCCTATGCTTTTCTTATGGGGGATATTTTATGTAATATCTAGTTAACTGATAACTTTTTAGAAATGCCACTATCTTTTCCAAAGTAACTGGGATCGAGACCTGTGATTTGCCAAAATCACACAATATTTTTACTTAAACACTTTGCTTGCAGAATTATATGTTGGATTATTATAGTAGCCTAGCAATAAATCAAGCTATTAAAAATCAAGTACTTTAACAAAAATACAGTTTCCCATTATTTTTATTTATTAGCGTTTTGAGAGAACTATCAGGCCGAGAGACGTCGTTTTGTGCTTAAATTAAAGCTAATTAAATGTACTAAAACATCTGTTCCAAATAACTTAAGTCGTAAATGAGTATTATCTCCGATTTTGGTGTTAAAAGTTGACCAACTCTTAAAATTTAATTTGTTTACAAAAAATTGTAAATCATTTGAGGGATGTATATTGGTAACTACTGTTCCTACAGAGGTGGTTTTGGTCTCAAATTTTAGGAAATTTAATGCACTTTAAAAATGTAACTAACATGTTTTATGCAAATCCCATATTTTAAGAGATATAGCGAAGAAAACTAAAAAAATGCTAAAATTATATGGTTTTTCGAGTGCTACGCTTTTAGCACAGGTCTTTCGAAGCTGCAAACTTGGAAATACACTACTGGTAGTGGTCCTAACAATATAATAAAAAATCAGAACTAGCCGTGTGTTTGCGATTTTAGCTATTTCTAGTGTACTATTTGACTGGCCTATAAACAGTTAGCTTAAAAAGCCAGCCCTTTTAATTAGATAGGGAAATGTTAATTTTACAAAGATTTTGATTCTGTAAGATCAAGACTGTTATTTACAAATTAATTTAACATTATCTCTAAACATATTTCTGTTACGATTTACATAAACCAGTATTTAACGAATTTATTTGTCCTAGCAGAGCACAGAGAAGAACGTTGATAAAGCTTTTTGTAGTTTTACTCTGGGATAGAAATCATAATAGGTGTTGCTAGCCTAGTAGTTGATGATTAGGACTTTGGTTACGGCAAAACATTAAAATGTTATGTGTTTAGACAGCTTTCCGTAGAAAGCGTTTGTTATTTCTTAACTTAAATGCAACTTTTGAAGAAAAAAATACAATTTTTTTTTCAATTGATATACTTATTTAGTGATTAAGATTAAGTTTTAACCAATCTGGCTTTAGTTAAAGTGCATAATCTTTAGAAGCAAGTAAACGACAACATAACCAACAATTGAGGGTGTATTGGCTAAAATTAATTCCTTTCAAACCTTTTGTACAAATAACATAACACAGTAACATTTAACTAAGATTAAACTATTTTAAGTTTTGTTCAAACATAAAATACTATCCATATCCTTGATGAACTCGTAGTAAGAACTATGAAAAATAAAGCACAATTTAGTCTTAAATACAAAATTTAGATAATTCCTATCCTTAACATATGGACACCGATAACTACTTTATCAAACAAAATGGGAAACTTGCACAAAGTCTGTCACATCGTTTGTAAAATTCTTTACGGTCAGAGGCTCTGAGACCATTCAGCATATCCAACTGTATGTTGGATTGTTATCACCGTCAGGTCTTGGTGCCTACCTGGTAGCTGGTGGATACTCTCCGTAAGTCAGTCACTGACGTGGGACGGCACTCCGGGGACGGCACGTCTGTCTGCTGCGAGGGGCGGCGCGCGACTGACCCACCCCCGCCTTCTGTAACCACCCCCTCCCGACCGTCAATATATCGTCAGCCTCGTCCATTCATCATACTGACTCGACTCAACTAACTTTATGAAAATCCGATCATGGCTTATTCGATTTCCTCAGCGGAGCTTCGGCTCGATACGAAGACCGAATTTATTTTGTGAAAAGCAAATGACGTATTCGATTCCCTAAGCCTAACGATGAAAATGTGGAGCACATGTAGCATACGCTATCTTTTGTCTAGGGGTTGGTGGATGAAGATTGAAAACTTTGTTACGGTTTAGATTAAACTCAGTGTATTTTTTCGTTGAGAAAATTGAGATTGGATATGTCAACTACTCCTACTGATTCGATTTAATTACCTTCCCGAAAATCCGACCACGGCTAATTTGATTTCCTTAGTTCAGAATGTTTGATATGAAGACCACTTTTTTAAAAATAAAATAAAAGACTCGGTTACACAAAGATTAAAATTTGAAGAATATAGCACTTGCAATCAAGCTTGTCTACATTGAGAACATTGTTATTATCTTTGTTACATTTTGAGTATCTGCCATAGAACTACAACACTGCTCTGTATTTAATCACCAGCTCACAGAACTACCTTATACATTTTATATTATATTATTTTACCCTACATTATATTTTACCTTAAACTTACCTCTGTTCAACTCAAAATTTTATAATTTATGATTTTCATTTTTTTTTTTATTTCCCTGTAACCAAATTAGTATTGTCATACCGAAGAACTGACTCTACTCAATTTACTTTCTGAAACTCCAATCATGGGGTAATCGATTTTCTCGTTTGAAAGATTGATTAAACGTTTTGAAAGATGAAAGATAATAATTTACTTTGTTAAAAGCAAATGACAGATTCGATTCCCCGAGATTGGAACATTGGATTAAAATGTGCAAGTAAACAGATCTAACAGCTTAAGTATCATCCTTTGTCTTGGGGTTAGTGGCTCAACATGGAAAATGTTGTTATCACATTGATTAGATCTTCCATTGTTGTTCTATGGGTGAAATAGGGTCGGACGTGTTAAACCGATACACAACTGTGGAGTAATTTGGTAAATGAAATTTCAAAAACAAAACTCGAGTGTAAACTGTATTGTTTTTTTTATTTATTTTTATATGTAAATAGTGCGTGTTTACTTAAAATATGGCCTGTTTAATAGTTAAGGTTGCTTAGAGTTAGGATTTCTACACCGACATAACTCTTCCAACATTTTCTTTCCCTTCGAAAAAAACATCACATGCCACAATTTTCCATATGAAAAAAGTTTCTAATACAGTACTTTCAAGAGCCTAAGTTAGAGATTAATATTTTACTAAGGTTATCAGTAATCAATTATCAATTATTTAAGATGGGGACGCCATTATGTGCGTATTTTAAACCAAATAATGAGTGAAGGATGAGTATCGCGATTTTCTAGTCTTGTTAGGGACTAAGGCCGACATGTTCCTTAGACACCGCTGTTATTAATAGCCGTTACAGCCAATGACAACTAAGGGACCTACAAATTATAGTGGAATCCGAACCACTTTTATTTAACTATGATAGCCAACTAAGATTTTAATAGATTAACAGAGATGAAAGAACTACTTCATCAATTTATTGTATAAAAAAATCCTTTACTGTGCAAAGTTCTTTTAGTTCTTAAAGTGTTGATTTTTTTAAATTAAAGTAATGGAATATCTATCTTACCAAATATATACATGCACATAGATAACGACCCATTCGGATTAAATTTTATAAATGAACCCTTTACTTAAGTCCTACTTTACTTAAGATATATTGCTTTTGTACAAGGAATTCCTGTAATATTTTATGAAATATGGGTAAAGATATATAACCAAGACTGAATGTAGGTTTCTCACAATTGGTTGAACACTACATTTACTAAACCGTACTATTTATTACCTCGAAGCATTTTCGATTGAATAAAATTCCCAAAATAAATATCAATTAAGAATTTAAAATGCGGTTTACTGTATTATTTAATTTATAAGAAATAGGAAGACCTCAACTATTAAGCAGTTTGAATCACAACAAGAATATTTCACAGGACGTTCAATGCAATACAACAAGTTAAAACAACACTTTTTTAATGTTGATTATGTCAAATGTTATGAAAAAGTCTACACTGTCTATATTTGGACAAAATTATGGAAAATTTATGAACAGAATATTTCATTGCTGTCTTTTTATTCCATAGCCATTTGCCGCTACAACACATCAAACATTATCTTAGTACCTATTCAGAATACATTCACACAGTATATAACCGCTCTCCCAAATTTGTCTTTGTCTTGCTCCACTTTCAGGGGTTCAGGCAACACATTGAAAAACCTGATACTATTATAAAATAGGTGTCTCTCAAAGAAACTTTTCCTGTGCTTAGGTAGCTTAGTATTGTTTTTTTGTGTGAGAGTGTACTGCATTGAATGGAACTGCGGTTGATACAGATGATAATTTCTTTTTAAAAACGATAGGCAACTCAGTATGTATATGGATGGAAATGTGAGAATATTGTATTCCTTGAAGAGAGGCTTGCAAGAAGTACGATGGGATATTCTGAAGGCTGCTCTTAGGGCTTTTTTCTGAAGACGGAAGACAAACTTTGTTCGTACGCTCTCACAGTCCCAAACTGCAACTAAATACGACAATAATAGGTAAATCAGTCCAAAATAGGCACTCAAGGTTACACGAGAATCGGTAAACTTCGAAACACCTCTGATCACAAAAATTCCTGTGCTTCTTCACCAGGTGTTGATATGAGATCTTCTGGAATGCTATCCAAAACTGTGTTACTGTTGCTAACCCATCCGCAGATAACAATACCACCTTTGGCATGAACTTTCATTACTCCTTCTACTAGCTTCAGTGCCTCCACTTGATGGGCAGCTTCCAACATAATCATCCATGTAGTGATCTCTCATTATAGTTTCACAAGCTTCTGGATGTGACTGGATCTGTTCTAGAGCATTTGTATTTCTGACCTTTTGAGCAGAAAAAGGTGAACACACTGCACCAAATATCAATATTCTCATGATGTATACTTTTGGCTCGGTTCCTCTATCAAATCCTCTCCAAAGAAATTGTTGTGCTAATTGATCTTCTGGTCTAATCTGTGGAATCTGTGGGAACATTTCTCTTATATCTGCTGTCATTGCTATTTTGTGTTGACGGAACCTGAATATCAGCCAGAGAATATCAACAAATAAGTCAGGTCCTTTTAGCAAAGCGTCATTAAGACTAACACCTTTACATTTTGCAGCAGCGTCGAAGCAAATCCGGAATTTTCCGCTTTTTTTAGCAGGTTTTGTACCGGGAGGTACCATACCTTTTCTGAAAATCGACACAGTCTTGCTTCTTCCAAAGTTCTTTCTGTAGCATAACCTTTAGTAATACATTCCTCCATTTTCTGTACATATTTTTCACCAAATTCCTTATCTTTATCCATTCTTCTTTCCAGATTACATAATCGTTGTCTAGCCAAAGAGTAATTGTTTGGTAAATCAAAATTTTCTTTCCACAATAAACCTGTTTCCCATCGATTTCATACCTTCTTTGTAGTTTTCTGAAATATATCTTCGGCTCTTCTGTCTTCTTCAGGCAGTAGTTTGTTGTCATTCACGTCATCTTGCAAATTTTCACCTAAGGATTTGCCAACTAAATTTCTAAGCTCTTTACAGCAGTTTCTTGGCTCTACCAACTCACCTTCTTCGATTAAATTTACATGATGGAATACATGTTCTTGTTGTGATGTTGGATGTCCATTCCTATCAGAAACTATTCCATGTACAACCCAACCTAAAAGTGTCTTACTTACTGCTGGACCATGCCATGGACCATGTACAACATTCCTAGAGACAAGGAGAGACAAATTGTCTTGGCCAATTAGGATGGTAGGTTTAGCATTTTTGAAAGAAGAGACTTTGATCTTATTTAAGTGTTTCCACTTAACTGAATGTGTTCCATATTGATTGACTGAATAGGAAGTGATAAATCTTTTACTGTTCTTACATTACTCAAATAATACTTTTTAGCATTATCTTCAAGTCCCGAAATATTAAGAGATTTTTTCATGGAACTTCCCTCAGATCTAGTCACATCGTTTGACCATTGCATAATCAACTCAGAAGCTGGACCTTCAATTCCCAATTTACCTGCAATTCCCTCTTCTACTAAAGTCAAAGTTGAACCGTCGTCTAAGAACGCATAAGTTTCTAGATCTCCCTTAGGTCCATGAAGCTTAACTGGAATAATACGCAGCAAAACTTGGTCTTTATTTGGCGAGTTTATTACATTACTAGAACAGAATCAATCTTATTTGGGAGGTGTAGAAAAGTATTGTGGCGTTTCCTAAATTTTTTTACAACTCTCCTTACTCTTACAACTGAGTGCTGTATGACCTTTCTTCAGACAAAGAAAACAAATTCCCTCAGATAATGCCCATTTAACCCGTTTATCTACAGATTGTTCTTTGAACTTTTTACATTGGGACAATAAATGTTTGTCTTTACACACTAAACACTTGTTTTCAGAACCATAACTTAATTTGTTTTCAAAACTCCTTACTCCTGTATTGTTTCCAATCGATACATCTATCTTATAGGATGTAATGTCATGAGATTTATGTTGAGAAAACTTAGTGTTTACACGTAAGGATGCATCTAATTTCTTACGCAACCAAATACTGAATGTGTTTAGATCGATACAGTCATTCCCCAACTCATTTAGATACTCTCCCCATTGTAACTTCAAACTATTATTAAGTTTACTCGTCATTTGGTTTAACAATATGAGATTAAACAAGTATTCTGGCTTATCTACCAATTCTACTGTACTTACAAGATTTTCAATATGATCTGCCAGTTTTTCTAGATTGCATTCATTTGCTCCATTAAACTTCAACATAACTGATTCTAATTTCCCAATTAAATTACTAATTATTAGGTCTGGTCTTCCAA